TACTAGTACAGATCTTTGATCTTTCCTGGGAGATTAAGCTGTCAAATGTTGCCTTACAATTCTCATGTGAAGAGCCAAGTACCTGGACATTAAACATGCAATACCATAACTGGCATAAGCATTGAGTTCAAATGGAAACCATAAAATATTACCGGTTACTGCAAACCTTAAGGAGCACAGAATAAGAGAATTACTAATTCAAATCCTAAGTACTGTTCCAGCCACATTTAGCATGTTGCTTTGTGAGAAACTGAGCTTCCCATTCACTAGAAATATTCGGTTGAAATGAACAGCTGGGAAGGGTCTCCTAGAAGAGGAGAGTTTCCATGGTTTATACACCTATGATTCACTGAACACAACAGAGAAGGCTCAAAAGTACATGAAAATGAAAAACTGGGCTGGAGGTATAGCTCAGTGGTAGAGTGCTTACCTAGCATGTGTGAAGCCTCAGGTTCCATCCCCAGCACTATAAAATACATATATACATTTAATTAAATAAAAAATCAAACTAAATAGAAAGTTCTTGTTATGGGGCTGAGGTTGTGGCTCAGTGGTAGAGTGCTTGCCTTGCAAGCGTGAAGCACTGGGTTCGATCCTCGGCACCACATAAAAATAAATAAATAAAATAAAGGTATTGTGTCCATCTACAACATTAAAAAAAAAATTTTTTTTTAACATATGAGGAAACAAAGGCCCCTGAAGATTTGGGCACACCATTGCCTCAAGGTCACGCCTGTGAATTATTGACAGATCTGGACTGAGCTCCCATATTCCCAGCAGAATGCCCTTCCTCTCGAGCATTTAAAGAGAACCAGTAGTTCACCAGTGTGTAAGATAAAAGATCTATATTGAAAAAGGCTCACATATTGTCCTTTTTTTGAACAAAGTTCACTTGTATATAAAACAAACACATCTCTAAAAAGACACACTGAGCTAAACACTGAAATTACAAATAATTCAGAAATAAAATGACATCAAAACTCTTCTCTCAATAAGGTATATTTAGCCACTGATTACTGATCTGACCTGCCAGGGAACATATACAGTAGATGTTGGAAAATGTTTAAGAAAAAACTTTAAAATGATACCAGTGAAAGAAAGGTATTTGGTGTACTGAAAAAAAAAATACACCTCGGAGAAGAATCTGGGATGATGCATCCAAAAAGAGAAGGAAAAGCAACAGATTCTTTAAAAAAACACTTCAAAGCCTTTCAGGTAACCATCAATTCTATACAAAAATCTCAGCAGCCTGCTTATGTACAGGATACACACACTGTGAAGGTTTGGGCGATTATGACTAATTACATGGAAGTAAGGAGGTTGAGTAATTTTTTGTACAGTATCCAAATTACTGAAACAGAGTGATTTTATTTTGCAAGTGTTAAGCCATACCCACAGGAAACAAGCAAGGCTTTTCTACCCTAGCAAAGCTCCTTAGCTACCATGCATTCTGCAACAAGTCTCCATGGCAAATTTCCTAACACACACTTGTAAACACAAAGAACTCCTCCAAGTGCATGTGAAAAAACAGGCTTGTGTGACTTCAACTAGAAGAATATTCTGCTACTCATGGGATCTTTTCATGAAAGGAGCATAACATTATCATCACCTTGCCATCCTTAAATACTGTAAGAATTACAAAATCATAGAATCCTCTAGAAGCAAGAAGCAGCCTTAGAGATAATCTAAAGAATCCAATTGCTTTATTGTTATGATAAGGAAATTGTCACCCTCCACACATCTACAAAAAAAAAAAAAAAAGTGGAATGACTTGCCCAAGGCCACACAATTACTCAGTGGTGAAGTAAGGACTATGATCACAGGCTCAGATCTACCACTTTCTTACAAAGCCACAGAAACAGACTTTATAATCTTAAAATTACGTGCCAGGCATAATCTAGGATATGAAAATTTGTGCTCTGGGTCTACAGGTCTCAAACTTTATAGTTGTGACACATAAACCAGATGATACATGTACACAATCCCCTCCTTAACATCATTGCAACTTCCTCTATGTCTCCCCTAATCTTGGAATGTAGCTGATACCACTAACAAGGAATGACCTTGAATCCTTTTAATAAAATAAATGTTGGAATTTTAATATTAGTAAAATCACTTCCTTTAACACACCTCAGGGTGAATTTGTGACACGAGATTCAAAATTGCTGCTTGGAAACATAAATAATCACTACAGGTGCAGCAAATGGTGTGAACACAGGAATCCCAACAGCAGTACTGTGGATTACATCTGACTCTGTCCCCAGTCTCTGTTACAGCAGCTTTCAGCAGGAAATAGATAGTTTGACTAAACAAGTTCAAACGAGCCTAGAGAAGTAGGTATCCTCTCTCTGGGGCCTTCTCAAATCTGGGCAAAAGGGTAAATGCTAAGAATGCTGAATTGGACAAACTTGTGGGAATGGTATCTGAATTCCAAGTTCCAACTCTGCTTTTCAGTGTGGCCTTGTATCTTTATTTATTCACTCCAACATTTTAAGATTTTATTTTACTCAAATCTTGAGTCCACATGTGGACTCAAGATTTGAGTAAAATAAAATCCCTGATCACTCTGTCCTCTGGTCTCTAAAGTGGGATGAATACCTCCCTCTCCAAAGGAGGTAAAAATACTATCACTTGGAAGAGCCATTGAGGAATAAGAAAAAAATAAAGAACTTTGATTAATAATTATAGTCTCATCTTTTTAACTTCTATTTTTGTGTTTGTAATTAAGAAATTAAGAATACGTGAATGAATGCTTTGGGACCATGGACCTAATCCCTTAATATGTGTGTGTCACTGTGGCTCACCAAAGCTGCGATGGGGCAGCAGACTAGAAGTAGTTGGAAAGCCACCCCAGATAATCCCACGTATTTTGTAAAATGAGCAGCGTGCATAGCAGACCTGTAGCACCTGCCCCTCCTCATGCAAGGCTTCTGAGCATTAGCTGGGTTGCTCCTGAGTCAAAAATGCAAACATACTGCCTTTGAAACCTCCTTTAGAGAAGAAAAATAGTAAATAGTATATACTTTCTGAGGATGAAATGAAGAGTACAAGGGGAAATAGGAAGCATCTAATGTACCTATATGTCACAAATCAAGGAAGGAAATACAACAACACATTTGCTCACCACCACAGCCCAGAAAGGGCTGTCATGATGCTGGTTTAAGCACTCTAATATGGACTGGAGCCAGTTATTTTCTGTTTCCCAAGCCAAGAACGTAACTTTCCTAAGGCTCAAATTGAAGATACAGCATTTCACTGCCTCCAGTGAGTTGAACAGGAAGATGCCTGATGCTCTCTAGAGAGAAACATACTCTCATAAAAATGTGACGTTTCTTTCTGACTTTAGATACTAATGTAAAACAGGTACTTTTTCTTATAGGGCAAGTTTGCTCATTAAAATTCAAGAAGTCTGCAAAACAAGATCTTCACAACTTGTCTAAATAGTAAATCATGCTTTTCTATACATGGAGAGACTTGGAAGAAGTTTGGGGAAGGCACCTCTCTGCCTCAATTCTCGGAGTTTATCTAAAGGCTTTGGAGATTTTTAACACCGCCCATTTCTTCTACCCATATCTTCTTTTTCTGCTCAAACTTTGCCACAGCACCTTTGTGAACAAAATGTTCCATGATGCAAAGTTAACTTTTTTTTTTTTTTATGAAAAGTTAAACTTCACCATGCTGCAGGCAAATGATTTCAAATAACCAACAGCTAACACCTGAGTCAAGGAGTGGTGGTGTAATGGGGGACCAAGCCTACTGGACAAAGTAAGGTGAAGTAGAAGAATGAAACAAGTTTCAAGGCATGGGCCCTTGGTGCTCACTAAACCCCAACCTGAGAGGACAAGCAGAACAGTTTGTCACCACCCACTTGGAAATGAAGCAATGCTCTGGCCTGCCTAAAAGGGATTTCTTAATAGGATCTGCTATTCCTTTAAAACTGTCTATTTCTAAGAGGTCCCTTTCAGTAGCTATAAGGTAAAAGGAAATTCCCTTCATCCAAGGGCCACTCAACCCCTTCCTCTCTCAAACAGTTCTTTCACTACTCCTGATTTAATCATTCAACCAGCCACACAACACAAGAAGAACAAGAGCACGCTACAAGCCCAGCACTCAATTACCCTATTCATTCTCTATCAGTGGCATTTGCCAACACCACCTCCAACACCTATTTCGGATTCCTCCTTTTCTAAAAGGAGTGTTTAATGCTCAATTTGAGGAGGGAGGTTTTGGAAGTCAGAACTATTTGAGTGGCTTTCCCGTCAGGTACCTTGTGGACTGGGCTTAGCATATATACTAGAACTTTGTTTCCCTTCTAACATCGGTACCTCTGGTCAACATTCCTTCTTTAAAAGCTTTGTTGGATCAGAAGAGTATTTTCACCAAGAGATTCCTGTAATATCTCCTCTCGTTTTCTGCGGCTCGCTGCGTGCTCCAGAACCCTGGCATGTGTGGATGAGCTCAGAGCAAATCTGGGCCCAGGAGCCAGGACTCACTACTCTAAACTGGACGACAACTTGCCCCGACTGAGGTACAGGTGTTTCTTCTCTTCGCATGCTGGAACCCAGGGGGACTCCAGGACTGCCCCCCAGAACGAGTCTTGTTCTGCAGTCAATGGCCAAGTTCTCAGATCCCTTACCCACGCCAACAGCGAAAGTTCCGCCAAGAGAGCAGGGGCCAGCGTGAGAAGGGGAAGTCGCGGCAAAAGGGTGCCAGGCGCAAGCATATCCAGATTCCTCTTTCTTGACCCAAGATACATTTAAGATTTGGTTGGGGGAGGGGATGGTTGTGTCCGAAAACTCTGGTAAAGAGCCTCTTGGGGCTCGGACCCGGACTGGTAAAGTTTGGAAAGCACGCGGCGCAGCTTTCCAAGCACCCCACGCACAGGTGATCTGCGTACCCGCCACACTGGGGAATGGGGGTGGGGTGGGATCGACCACCGGCCCCGCCCCGTAGCACTCCCCGCCGGCCCCCCACCCCGGAGCCCCACCGCCCGCACTCACAGCGCTTGGGTGAAGGCACTGAGCCCCTCGGGTACAGCCGTCAGCCCCTTCCCGGAGCAGTCCACCCGACGGTCGCCGTCGCAGCTGCAGGGCGCTGCGCAGAGAGGCGGCGCCGCGCCGCTGGGCCCGGCCGAGCCTAGCAGCCCCAGGGCGAGGAAGCAGAGCAGCCCCAGCGGGCCCGGCATTGCTGCGGCCGCCTCCCGCGCCGGCCTCTCCCGCGGCGCTGCTCGCTTGGCGCGCCTCTGCTGCCCTCCGACGCCCCCCGCCGACCCCGGGCAGCCGGCCTGCGGGCTGGGGCGGGGGCTGTCTCCTTTGGAGGTCCGCGTGGGCTCGGCCCCTTCAGCAGTCCGCCGCAGCAGCGCAGGGACTCAGCGCTCCGAAGTTTCGCCTTTCCCGCTGCTCCATGGAAGAGCAGAGGCAGCCCCGCTCCTCCGGCGGCTCAGGCCAGCCGGCCCGGCCCGGCACAGCTGCCGGGGCCGCGCTCTGCCATCGCACCCGCCTCCCTGCCCCCGGCCTCCAGCCGCAGCCGCTCTTCAAGGTTGCGGAGCGCAGCCTTCAGCCATGCCGGCCCCTGGCCCCTGCCCCCGCCCCGGCTCTCGCACAAACACCAAGACTCTCGGTCTCTCCCCGCCGCGGCTCTAGCTCTTCCCGTTCTTTTCCCTTCTAGGGTTGCACGCTCCGGTTCCCAAGCCCCCGGTCGCTGGGTTATGCAAATCACTTAGGTACATGCAAAACTAACCCTTCTCCCGGAGCGCCATTGGTCCGTGGAGGTCTCGAGCTTATTACTATGCAGGCAGGGGAGCCTCCATTGGCCAGGAGTAGGACAAGAGGGGCGTGTCTCTCAGGCGTGAGTGACAAGGTGGTGGTGGTGGTGGTTCCAGGCAAAATCCCTTACTTGGCTCGATTTGCGTGGCAGGTTGTGGATTGAAGGTAAAAGGATCGGAAGGCGAAGAGCCTGGTTTTTCCCTCCCCCACTCCGTCTTTTTCTTCCACTGCGGAGAAATTAGATCTCCTAAATTGGATGACCTGAAAAGTAAAACTCGCCTCCAGCGTTCAGTTAAGTTTCAAATGACTCTTCGCTGTTCCAAAGGGCGAGGACATTGGGAGCTATGCAAACGGAAAACCGATTTAGGGAGACAAGGGAAAATGTTTCCTTTATTCTGACCCAAATCTTTGGGTTTTAGCTATGTATTAAAACACTGTACTCACTCCAGCATCTGACTTCAACTGGGATCTTTATACCCTTCTTCATGTACACTTGGTATCCAAGTCTTAGCAACTAATCATCCACAATACAAATCAAACTGCTTTCTCACACACTTTTAAAATCCTAAAAATTAGTGATGTTGCAAAGATCAACAGGTGATGCTTCTCAACACTGGACAATTTCTCCAGACAACCAAACAATCATTTAAGTGATACCTGACTACCCTTGAGAAGCCAGAGGAAACCTTGGTGTTAGGTAATTCTTAGCATTGCCTCCTTTTCTGGACTTGGATTCCCCATGGCCTAGCAGAATCCACAGAATCATTATCTGTATGAAATACAAGTTTATGGGTACCTCCCTTCCTGATTTCCGCTTTGTCTTTGGGTTGCTTTACTCCATATTGGAGACACATTTTATGAATCCATTAAATTAAAGCAAAAAGGGCTTAAAATGTCACCATCATATAAAGTTAACTAGTCATCTCATGTAGGTAAAATTAAAGACAATGGAAACAAGTTGGCGCAGACCTATAAGTTGTTTTAAAATGAAAATTTTCCATTATCTTTGTGTTCAAGAGTTTACCATAAAAATAATGCCAGGTTGGGCAAATGACTAACATACTATAAATTTATTCTAGAGAGTCAATAAATACAGACATGATTTCACAGTTTTAGGAATGATATATTTCTGCTGACTGTAGGGCTGAAAGAGAACTTACAGCAACCCTCTGAACTCTCAGATACTGTGCTCTGCCCAAGATCATCACAGGCAGCTCCCGACCCCTTGTCTGGTGTTCTAGGATCCTTCTCTTGATTTGTCTAAGTCATTTCTATTATTTTCTGGGAACATTCATGAGTAAATGAAGTGAGGAGAAAATTCTAAAATTTTTTTTATTTAAGTCCTCTCTTCTGTTTTCTTTTTCATTACATACACACACACACACACACACACACGTACACACTTTTTTGTGTGTATGTTGTTCTAGGGATTGAACACAGGAGCACTCAACCTCTGAGCCACATCCCTAGCCTTATTTGTATTTTATTTAGAGACAGGATCTCACTGAGTTGCTTAGCACCTCGCCTTTGCGGAGGCTGGCTTTGAACTCTTGATCCTCTTGTCTCAGCCTCCCAATCCCAAGGAATTCACAGGTGTGCTCCACCACACCAGATCCAGTCCTTTTTATATCCATTTTGGGACAGGTTCTCACTAAGTTGCCCTCGCTGACTTCACACATGAAATCCTTCTGCCTTAGGCTCCCCAGTAGCTGGGATGGCAGGCCCTTTTTTCTCTCTTCCTTAATAATGCTGAAAGATGACAGAATTTCTCTTGCAAAGATATCACTTCTCTCTGCTATTTTAAAATTAACAATTATAGTCTATACTGATTAATTTTATTTCTACCAAAAAATTAATTTTTTTTTTTTTTTTTAGGTAGTGTTTTGGGGCTAGGGATGTAGTTCAGTGGTAGACCACTTGCCTAACGAAAAAGAGGCCCTGAGTTTAATCCCCAGAACCACAAAAAATTAAAAATAAAAAAGTAATATTTTTTCAAATTTTAGTGATCATAAGAATAATATGTGAAGTTTAATTTTAAAAAATACAGAATGATTTAGTAGGCTTGGGTGGGGCTCAGGAATCCACATTTTGAAGCACATCAAGTTAAAGTGATACAGGTGGTCTGTGATCCACATTTGGAGAATGTTATTCTTTCCTTTCCAGGAATAAAATTTTATGCCTGGAAACTTGGATGAAAGGAGACATTTAGATTTTGAAAAAAAGAGATGTAGATTTTGTTAAAGAATAAATTCCTATTGTTTGTAAGATGAAAAAGTTAAGAAAAAGGGGATATAAATCTGTGCCTTAGCCAAAAAGACAAAATATTGGAAACCAAGAACTTTTCTAGGGAAGAAAAATGTTAAGCTTTATTAAAGAGTTATTATTTCTTACAGTTGCTACATTATGTAAGCTTCACATTAATGATAAATTGACCTATTAGTCTTCATCTCTTAAATAAGATGTTCCAAGACAGCATAAAAACAAAAAACAAAACCAAATGAAACAAAAGTTCACCTTAATCTTTCATAAATTATAAGGAGTAGAAAGATTTGAGGATGACCAAAATATAAAAAAAAGAAAATCAATACTGGGAATTGAACTGAAGCGTGCTCTACCACTGAGTACATCCTCAATCCATTATATTTTTATTTGAGAGTCTCAATGAATTGCCAAGACTGGCTTCAAACTTGCCATGCTCCTGCAAGTCACTGGGATTATGGGTATGCACCACTGCATCTAGCTGCTATTATTAATTAATATTTATTACTATATTGGATTCCATTTATAAAATATGCCCAGGTTTTACCAGAGAACAGAATCAACAGGAAATGTAGAGATATATGCAAAGAGATTAATTAGGAAGCATTGGCTCAGGCAATTAATGAAGCGAGGTCACAAGATCTGCCATCTGTCTGCTGAAGGTCGGTAACCTAAACCCAATAATCTAGTGCCAATCTAAACCCAAGAGAACCAGAACTTATAGCTGAGTTATAAGTTCCACACTGAGGGAGAAGGCTTGAGAACCAGGACTGCAGAAATCCACAGGCAGGAGAAGATGGGTGTCCCAATTAAAACAGAAAGAACAAATTCACTCTTCCTCCAACTTTTCGGTCTACTCAAACCCACAATGGATGGGATGCCTACCTGCTCAACAAGGGCATCTTTACTCAGTCTACATAGTCAAATCCTGATTTCTTTTAGAAACACCTTCACATACAGTGAAACATAATCTTTTACCAGTTATCTGGGCATCCTTTCCCAGTCAAATGGACATAATAATAAATCTTCACCACTATTTATTTATCAATCCTCTTGGTTAATAGTGTTTATTTTATTTTATTTTTTCTAACAATACAAGTAGGAACAATCTTGTATATATTTCATTGCTCACATGATCATATATGAAGAACTTTTTTCTAAAATATATCTTCCTTTATATCATACCATATTGTGTGTGCGCACACACACACACACACACACACATGAATGTATGTATGTCTGCTAAGGGGATTTTCTCTATCATAGATTGTATACATTAACCATTACTAGATGTTTCTAAATTACCCTAAAAAATGACTGTACTTATTGATACTTTCCTCAGCAGAGAATAAGAATCTCCATTACTCTACATCTTACCACCACTTGGTATTGCAAGACTTAAAATATTTGCAAATCTATCACATATAAAATGAAATCTCTGTGTGGTCTAAATTTGAATCTCCTGGATTACAAGTGCATTTTTTCCGTATATTTGTTGGACATTCCAGCGTGCTCTTCTCTGCATTGCCTATTCCTTTTCTTTGCCTGTTTCCTATTGGACTGTTTATATTTGTTTTTATTGTTTTGTAGTAGAGGTCAGCAAATGTTTTCTGTTAAGATCCAGATAGTAAATATTTTGGGCTTTGTGGGCCATATGGTTTGTGTCAGAACTTTTCAACTCTGCCATTGTAGCATGAAAGCAACAATATAAAATATAAAAGCAAATAGATGTGATGTGTTTGTTCTAATAAGATTTTTTTTCATAAAAACAAGTGTTGGACTAGTCATTGATCATAGGCTTCGTCTGCCAACTGTGCTTGCAATAAAGGATGCTAATTCTTTATTGAACTCTCCTGATTATTTTTGAAAATCTTTTACAAATTATGTAAAATTCAGAGTGACACTTTTAAAGGTGACCGTCTTTTCTGACGACTTGAGATCAAGCAGTTTTAAACTTTTGATATCTTTGGTGAGCTGATACTTGAAGATACTATTATAGGATGCACCAAGAAAAACTCGTTATGAGTTTTATTTTTGTTTTGAGACTTTTTTTTTAGTTGTAGATAGATACAATACTTTTATTTTACATATTTATTTTTATGTAGTGCTGAGGATTGGAGTACCTCACACACACTAGGCAAGCACTCTACCACTGAGCCACAACCCCAGCACCCCCTACACACCCCCATGAGTTTTAATTTTTAGTTTTTTTTTTTTTTTTTGAGAGAGAGAGAGAGAGAGAGAGAGAGAGAGAGATTTTTTAGTTATTGGCGGACACAACATCTTTGTTGGTATGTGGTGCTGAGGATGCCAGGCGAGCGCGCTACCACTTGAGCCACATCCCCAGCCCCCCCCCCCATGAGTTTTAAAATACCTCTCTTTCCAAAACAAATGGCTCAGAGGAAGTCCTGGGCACTTAGAATTTACCTTACTCTTTATCCAAAAGTCATACCAAATATATTTAACATAATTGTTCATGATATAATTAGATAACCTGTTGAGAAATAACTGTTGAGTTTAAACAAAAACACAGGTGCCAAACTGCCATCTGAAATTAGAAGCTGAATATGTGGAGTAAATATACACATATATACACAAACACACGTACAAAAACATTTCAAACTAGGAGAGATTCATAGAATAAAGAAAGACTATTGGGTCTAGTCCTCACTGACCAAACATAGACTCT